AAATAAATAAATCTTAAAAAGAAATTCTAGAATCATTTCTTTAGAACTCATTTGTTTTCACTTTGCTGTCACTAATGAGAAGAATGAAGCCTTAACTGATCGAAGTTCTGGCTTTACTCTGTGAGTGGCTATTATTATTATTATTATTACTATTATTACTTAATTCAGTAAGTTTTGAACAGGTTCTTGGAGGTCTATTTTGTTCTGTGTGTCAGCTTCCACCTGCATAGCCAGACTGAGTGGAACCTAGCTAGCTTGAGGTAAGAACCACTAATTAGGAATGGATCTCCTAGGAAGAGAAGTTACAGAGGATCAAATTCTGTCAGTCAGAAATGTGTCTGGGAACAGAGAGCTGCATAGATTTCAGACGGAAAATCAAAGATTTGTCTTTAAGCTTGGCCATTTACTGCAACAACTTAAGGCCACACATGGGATGCCTTTATCCCTTGTCATCCTGCCTGGCTGAGTCCTGGCTACTCTGCAAATGAAGTTTCCTGCTAATTGCATCTCAGGAAGCAGCAAATGATGGCTCAAGCAGTTGAGTCCCTGTCACCTGGACAGCAGTTTTGGATGGAGTTCCTGGATCCTGGTTTCAACCAGGCCTAGTAATGGATGTTGCAGACATCTGCAGGCTAAGCCAGTAGAGCAGAGATGTCTCTGTTCTCTCTCTGCGCATACTTAGGTCTATCTTATTCCTACTCTTTCAAGTAAAATGGAAATAGTAAAAGTTTGTTTTAGAAAGATTCGTATTTAGACAATGGGATGTTTATAGAGACAATTTCAGGAGCTGAATTGCTCCTGGGTGTTTGGGTGCATCTGATTTGGAAAACCCTATAGACAAGTACAGTACAGTTATGTTTTACAGAGGATCAGATCTAATGGTGTCTGACAAAGGAATTGTGATGGTGCTATTGTTTATCCACATTAATCTGCTGGTGAATTATAAAACTATCCTTTTAATAAATGTCATTTCTTAGCATATTGGAGTTTTCCAGAAAGGAGTAGGATTTTCTCTTAAAATTCACATATATACCACAGGTTATCATTATACATCAATCTTAAGGCACCAAAAATAACCACATGTATTGCTTTATCTCTTATGTCTTCTTATGACATATAATTAACGTCTACATTGTATGGAGCATGTATTGTTTTATGCAAGTCTGTTCTGGTTCATTTTCTTTTATGGGGATGCCACAAATTCTCAGACACAGAAAAATAAATATATAAACATTCAAATAAAGCTGTGACTCAGCCCAACCCAAGAGAATTAAAACTGAATTTACTACTTTTTCCCCCAAGTGAATGATGCTGGAGTGAAGCCCTGACTTCTTTGCTTGCCATTCAATTCATAAGTGACTGGTTTCTCATTGTGCCTCACCTGTGTTACTGCAATAGCTTTCTTTCTTTTTCTAAATTTTATTTTTAAATAATGATTACATGATTGATCAGGGTGGAAAGGATCCAGGTTTAGGGAAAATTGGGTGAACTCATTGCTTCCAAATTTGCTATTTCTTGTTGTTGTTCCTAGGGGAAGGGGAGAGACAAAGGGGGAAACCGCTCATGACTTTCCATATGTCCCAGTACACAGGGTTGAGGAACCACCACCTCATATCAAACCACAGTCTCAACGTGTACATATTCCAAGGGTTCTGTTCAAGTGGTTTGGAGAGTTCTGAAATGCTGCCAATTTCACCGATCCAAGGATGATGTCATCCTCCCAATTAAATTGGGTTATGATGAGGACTAGTAGCTAAGTTATGAGTCAATTTAAGAAAATTTATCTTGTCATTTCCTGGGAAATCACAATGAAATGACATCTGTGGATATCAGTATATGAGGCAGGAATGATGAATGGGATTTCATGGTAAATAACTCATTTTTCTTCAGGCAGATATTTCCCTAAGTGTAAGAAATGCTCAATAAACCTGTAAACTGTAAGGACTGTGATGTGTGATGTTAGCAACGACAGCTACCAAAAGCTTTAAATGAGAGAATTTGGATGGACAAAGCAAATAGAATTTTCAGAAAGTGGCAATCTTTTTAAAACATCAAAAAATGTTCTTAATTATAAATGTTCAGGATAATCATTTTCTCTAAGATTTTCATTGAAATTTTAGTTATTTTTTGAAACTCACAAAGAAGTTAAGAGATCAGAATGCTGTTCACTCGTTGCAATTTGGCTGATTCTGTCATTATAATCACCAGCACAGCCATTGAACAAGAACTTTGAAAGGTGAAAGCTAACTTTAGTCTCAGCCATTTTACATGGATTTTTTTTCTATACAAAGAAAAAATGAGGGTTAGATTAGAAAAGATAAATGACTAGGTTTAGATTTAGAAATGCAGAATGTATTGGATTTTATTTTTGTCTTAGAGGTTAAGGGCCATGTTTCCAGAAAATGGCTACTTTGTTACAGTGAAGAGACTATTATGTTTAAAAATACTTCTTAGGTTTTTGCTGTCCACAGGTCCCTGTGTGTCCAGGAGGCATGTGCCAGTTTTCTGCCGTCCCTCATAAGCAGCATTCTAATGGAAATCTATGACTTGGCCATTATTATTGCTTCTGTGAATATTTGCCTTATGATTTAAGCCTGCAGCCCCAGGAACCACAAGAAATTCTCTAAAAATGATAATGTTGGTAGTGTTTATGTTATTTTTCTTGAGCATGTTTTTCACTTTTATTCTACATGTGCTAGAAAAAAATGGCTTCCAATTTATGTAATTGTGGAAACGAGAAAAAGCTGTTGGGATATGAGGCTTCTGAAATGAGCAAGAAGGTCAAAATGGATGTGATGACTATGCATGGTGCACTTGGCTTGAAATATTTAGCTTTGATGTTTTATAATTGCTTCGTATGTTTCAGTGAATTTAACGTTGTCACTAAAATGGTACCTAATTAATCCATTCTTGCAATGTATAAAAATGTACTGAGTGCCTCTAATTCTCCTGCTGCTGTATTTATTAATAGCAGCGTACATTGCTTAATGTGTGCTTTTATTTGAAAAGCATTTCTGTAAATGTTTTCTTTTCTCACTTTCTCTTTGTGGACTGTCACAATTTGGCACCAACATTCAATGGGAGAGCTCATCAGAGCAATTGGTTTAGAAATACTTCTCCATTTATCAAAAGGTTTACACTGTTTTTGAGAAGTGTTGGTAAGATTACTTGTAGATTTTCTTAGGCTGGTTTCCTTAGAAAGCTGAAATAGTAATGCCAAAAGCAAATGACTGTTCAGGGCTGCAGTAAAAGCAAAGGATCAGACAGTGGAAAGTAGAGTGCTGTAAAGTGGAGAGTGCTACAAAGTTTCAACACAGGAACACAGCCTGCCTCTTTTGGAGTCAAGTGGGATGACCTGGTGCAATCCTTGTTAGCATGTTATTGATTGTTTTCTGGAGAAGGGAGGGGGCATCTATCAGATAAGACACAGACCATCTCATTGATGGGAATTAAAGCTACTACAGGCTATCTAGTCAAAGCATCAACAGCATCCATCATGTACATGAGTGATAATTTGAAAGAAGAGCAGCTTATTGGATCTAGATTCCATCATTACCCCATCCCCAGAACACATCCATCAACACTTGAAATCAAAGGTGGAAAATCAAACTGTATTCAGTTTCCTTTGATTATAAAAACAGTTTCAAAACAATACTGAGGACTTGGAATTTTTGTTTTTCTGTAGTATTCTATATGTCCAACGCAGCTATTAAATGCATTCTTGTCACCAATGAATAAAAATTAGTTCTTGATCGCTTCTTGGCCTTTTGGCTAAGATCAAGTGTAAAATTAGTTCTTTGAGAGAGGACCTGAAATACTGTCCGTTAAAAAGTAAAAGTATCTTAAATGCCAGATTTGCTCAGACAAGTCTTTCTCCTGTCTTAAATCTCAGTTGGGGATGTGGTATTTGTATATATACATAACTGATTCAGACAGGATCCAAGTGTTTGTTGTGTTCAGTGAGTGAAGGCCACTTAACTTCTTTCTTCCAATAGATTATTATGTTGTGCCAAAGGATTGCTTCCTAGTAGAATGCCTCCAACCCTCTTTTCCTTCCCATTGTGGAGCAGATGGAGCTGAGTTTTCTTTGAAAAACAGCTTTTATTCTTTGTTACTACCTACCAGAATGAAGAAGTGTTTCAGAGATACTAGGTAACCTTGTATGAGGACAGTGGAAATTTTACTAGTTCAATGAATTAGTATAATATTTTTGTGTTTTGTTCTGTTTAAATTGTCAAATAGTTGATAGGACGATGGACTCTCTACCATTGTCCATACCTAAAATATCAGGATAAACTTAGAGTAGAATGATGGATTTACAATTGTTTATGAAGGATTATAGTACTGTTATAATACAAGGGGAGTCAGTGGGAATGAGGGGACTTCGGAAGGAAAGAAGGGAAATCCCAGAGCCTATGAAACCGTATCATATAAATAAATAAAGTGTCAAATGGTTTCCAGAGGAATAGAGGCATATGAAAGTTCTTCGAATGATACAACTGACTTTGAAGTGTAAGACTAACAGTAGCAATAAACAATGGCAAGTTTCCATCTTAGATCAAAGAAGTATTTTCTGATGATGTTCCTCTGATTGCATTTATGTTTGATTATTCAGATTTATTAAGCAGAAATATGATATGCAAATAAACTCAGAATTTAAAGAGATACTAATTCAGTTCTGTGTTCAAGCTGATATTCCAACCTTTTCACTCTGTGCAGGATTTTGCTAACTTATTTTTAAAAAGATTTGCTTATTTGTTTGACAAGCAGAGAGAGAGAAACAGAAATTTTCCTTTTGCTGACTCATTCCCCAGATGCCTCCAAAGCTGGGGGTGATCCAGGATGAAACCAGGATCTAGGAACCTCATCTGAGTTTCCCTTGTGAGAGACATGAACTCAGATAATTGTGCCCCATCTGCTGCTTTTACAGGTAAATCTGCAGAATGTGGGCATCTCAGGCAGTGGTATAACCCATGTTATGACATTTTTGTTGTTTATAGAAACTTCCAACTCAGTGAAGAAGAAAATTGGATTTATCAGGCTGTTTTGGATCAGTATCCTGGAGATCTCTATGGCAGAAGGACTCTATACCTGGATATGTTACAAAGATACTTTCCTCACAAATCTAGGCGGCATTTGGTGAGTGCTGAACCTCACTATCTAATGGGAAGTTACATTGTTTTAGCAATCAGTTGTTCAGTGGATACACATCCCCTCACACACACGTATTTAAAACGGCATATATATATATATATATTATGTTTGCTGAGCCTCCAAGTTCAAGGCTGGTCTGGCTAGTGTTTGAAACCCAGGTGTTTGCATAGTCACCTGCCTACCCTCACAGGTCCTGCAATTCACAGAACCTTCCAGATGCCATTCCCTCCAATGGGGGGAAGCTGACACTGGCCTTGAGGTCAGACACTTACCTATAGTCTCTCCACCACCACTTGTCTGCCTATACTCCCTGGATTCATCAGGAACACAAATGTCCACGTTTAATAATTCAGGGACATGACTTAAATTTTCTGTAGAAGGAACTGGAAAGTTTATTGTTATGACTTTAGTTGGCATAGAGAAAGGCAAAAAAATGAAGGTTGTTGCATCATCAATTCTACAAAAAACATAACATATTTAAATGAGGATATTTATTCTCAACTTTCAAATGAACTGTGTAACAAAATATTATCACATCTGCTTCCATTTTATGGTTACTTTAAATTAAGCAGTAACATCAACACTCGTGTATAGTGTCAGTCCTGTGGAGAACCCATGCACTCACCAAACAGTTTCTGTTTCTGTTATCTTGGTTTCTGAATGAAGATAATGAAGGGAAGGTCACTCAGTGGGACCATATTCTCTCTTGATTTCTATTTGGTTTTGTGCTGGCCTTTATTTTGAAGTGGATATGCATTATTAACAATTCACTGGGACTTTTACAATTCTTAAATTAAATCTTTATTTCCAACTTGCTTCTATAACCAGCTATCATTTTTAACTTTATGGATTTGCATATTTTTCCCACCATTAGCATGGTAAAATTTTCACACTTACTTTTTACATTGAGTTGGTTGGTATGTGACTCTGCCAGTATATATGTCCTTTCCTTCTAAAACATGTCATTTTAATCAAATAATCCATTAGCTTGAATATGGAAAATTACAGCAATAAATTGTACAACTTTGACTAACGTTTTCAATCACTGACCTCAGTTTCAACTTTGAAAAAAAAATTGTTTCTTAAATTATTTTATTCTAAATTTTTTTAGATTAACATGTAAGACTTACACATTTTTATGGAGTACATTGCAAAATTTCAATACATACATATAGCATAAAATGATCATTCCAGGCAGGTGGCCTTTCCCTTTCTTTTACTTGGGTTGGAGGCAATGAAGTCCCTCTTCCAGTCCTTTATATAATATATAATGGATTATATGATCCTTTATAATATATAATCCTATATAATATATAAATATTAATGTGTTATATATTGTATAATATATAAATATATAACAATCCTATATAAGATATAAAGGATTATTGTGAGCTCTGGCTGCACCACTCTGCTATGGAACGCTGAAACTTGTTGCTTCTGTGTGTGTTTTGGCACTCATTACCAAAACAATCTAGGTACACCTAGGTTGATTCTGCATCTTGATTGTTGTGAATAATGTTGCAATGAACATAGGAATCTAGGTATCTACTCTGTATGTTCATGTTGTTTCCTTTGAGATATATATCCAGAAAAACAGTAGCCACATCATACAGTGTTTTGAGAAACTTCCATGCTGTTTCTCCATAAAGGTTGCGTTAATTTGCATTTTTACCAACAGTGTGTAAGTGTTCTTTTTCTTCATATCCACATTAGTGTTTATAATTTTTGCCTTTTTTTAAAAAAGGATTTGTTGTATTTTTATTTCAAAGAGTTACAGAGAGGACACACAACAGAGAGAGAGAGAGTCAGAGAGAGTGAGACAAAGAGAGATCTTGCATATATTAGTTCACACATCAATGGCTGGTATGGCTGGAGTAGAGCTAATATGATGCTTGGAGCCGCAGCTTCTTTTGGGTCTCCTATGTGGATGCAAACCCGAGTACTTGGGCAATCTTCTGCTGTTTTCCCAGGCCATAAGCAGAGAGTTGGCTGGATTGAAAGTGGAGCAGCCAGGACGAGTACCAGTACTCATATGGGATGCTGGCACTTCAGGCCAAAGCTGAGCCTGCTGCACCACTGCACCAGTCTCAATTCTTTTTCCTTTTGTTGAATTATTCTAATAAAGTTAGGTGATATTTCATTGTGCTTTTGATTTAAAATCCCTTAATTACAGGGGTTATCGAACATTCAGGTATTTGTTGGCCATACATACTTCATGCTGTCATTTGTGCCTGTTGAGCCTTTCATCTATTTCTTAATTTGGATTACGATTTTGCTGTTTCAGATTCATAGTTTACAAATATTTTCTTTAATTCTCGTTTGGCCCTTCACTCTGTTGATTGTTTTTCTTATGGTAAAGCTTCTTAGTTTGATATAATCCTCTTTCTAGTTTTGCTTTTGTTGGCAGTACTACTACTGACTTCCCAAAAAACCATTGGGCATGTAATTTTCTTCTAGTGGCTTCATAGTTTCAGGGCTTACATTTACTTCTTTGGGTTGTTTTTTTGTATACAGTGGGAGATGGGGTAGTTTCAGTTCTTTGCGTATGGATATTCAGTTCTCCCAGAGTCACTTTTTGAGTCTGCCTTTTCTCCAGTATATGTTCTTCAAACCTTTGTGAAGGGAGGCTTTAGGCAAATGGACTAATTTCTAGGACCTCTATTCTGTTCCATTGGTTAGTAGTCTGATTTATGCCAATACCATGTTATTTTAGTTACAAATCTCTGTATTGTATTTTGAAATGTGGTATTGTGATATCTTCAGATTTGGCTTTTTATTTTAAAATATTTTTATTATTTTAATTAAAAATTATTTTCTACAATACATTTTTGAAAGTATAGGGATTCATCTCTTTATTTCTTCCTTCTCCTTCCAGATTTTCCCCATTTTTTAAAAAGATTTATTTTTATTATTTTTTATTGGAAAGGCAGATATACAGTGAGGAGAGACAGAGAGGAAGATCTTCCATCCGATGATTCACTCCCCAAGTGAGCGCAACGGGCCGATACTATGCCAATCCAAAGCCAGGAGCCTCTTCTGGGTCTCCCACGCGGGTGCAGGTTCCCAAAGCTTTGGGCCGTCCTCGACTGCTTTCCCGGGCCACAGGCAGGGAGCTGGAAGGGAAGCGGGGCTGCCAGGATAGAACCAGTGCCCATATGGGATCCCGGGCGTGCAAGGCGAGGACCTTAACCACTGCGCCACCGCGCCGGGCCCGATTTTCCCCATTTTTGCCATTTTTTTCCGTATTATCACAATAGTGTATAATCCCTTAATATAAGTTACAAATTTAAATTTTTGGACATTTAAATGTATCATGACATGAAAAATACAGTCAAAGGTAGAAAAAAAAAACCAGTATCATATTTTAGAGACACATGTAAAAATTTTATTCAGAGTCCTACTTTTATTTGGAAGTAGAGACACATACTGTATGGTACATATGCTGATCTTCCTTGCATAGCTCATGAATGGATATATATTTGTTTATATATATATATATTATACACATTTACATGATTTCCTGGAATAAATCCCATCAGGTAACTGTGAGTTGTGTCTTTGATACAGAGTTATATGTAATGTACTTGCATTGTGTTGGGAATTTTTATATCTATGTTAATATACTTATATATTATACTTTGTGTCTTGGTTGCCTTATATCAGAAAGAACATATGATATTTTTACTTTATTTCATTTTATGACACAGTTCCATAGGCTCTGGGATTCCCCCAACCCCTCCCCAAGCCCTCCCCCCATATTGATTTCCTCCATATTATTACAGCAGTACAGCTCATAACCAGTCATAATTCCATCATTGTGGGCATGGACCATGCCGAGTCCAGCATCTTATTGTCCAGATAAATTCAACAGTTTCATTGGGAGACCATCCTTGATCTGAAAGTAGAGCTGGCAAAACATCATCCCCTCCAATGAAAAGCCACAACACAAATTCAACAACAGGAAGAAACATGGAAATTTACAGTATCATGAAGTTAATTGACATGGTACTGAGTGACCAATGAGACTGGCTTGATCAAGATTGCTTTGACTATTTTGGATGATTTTTGCTTCTTTCTTTTTTCCCTAATTTTCAGGAGAATGTCATTAATATTTGCATTGGTCTGTATATAGTTTTTGGATAGTATGGATTTATCTAAATTTTATTTTACTTTAAAATCAGAGAGAGAGTGATCCTCTATTCACTAATTCATTCCCCCAAATGGCTGCAGCCATTCTGAAGCTGGGAAAGCTGGGAGCCAGGAGCTTCTCCTGGGTCTCCCACTTGGGTACAGGATCCCAAGGCTTTGGACTATCCCTCTACAGTTTTCCCAGGTCAATAGGAAGGAGCTAAATGGGAAGCAAAGCAGCTGGGACTCAAACTAGTGTCCATATGTGATATTGGCACAGCAGGTGGGGATTACTATTCTACAACACTGGCACCTGTATGGATAGTTTAATAACTTTAATTCTTTCAACCCATGAATGTGGGAGGTATTTCTGTGTCTCCATTTTATTTTTGTTTTAAAATGTTTCTTTGCCACAGTCTTTTACATTCTTCATTAAGCCAATATTAAGATTTTTTTTCTTGTAATTATTTTTGATTGCTTTCATAGATTTTTTTTCTCAGTGAATCTGTTATTAATTTATAAAAATACTACCAAGTGTTGATTTTGTGTTCTGCAGCTTTACCCAATATAACAATTTTAAGAGTCTCTTGATGGAGTATTTAAATCTTTGTCTATGGAATCAAGTCATCTGCAAAAAGGGACATTTTGACTTCTTTTGCTGTTTGTTTGCTCTTTAACTCTTTTTCTTCTGCTAATGGCTCTGTCTGTGGCTCAGACTTTCACTGATACATAAAATAGGAGCATTGAGAGTGAGCCTTCCTTTATGTTTCCATTTCAGAGGAAATGATGTTACATTTTCCCCATTAAATACGATTTTGGTTGTGGGTTTGACATACATGGCTTTTATTATGGAGACA